TTCTCTTTAAAAACAGACAACGAAGTCCAGAATGATAGAACTTCCAGAAACGTGCAGGATGGCTAAATTTGTGCAGCTGAACAAAACCAAAGTTGAATTTGACAAGCACCATTGCTAAAAGACAACTAAATTGCCTATTCATTAAAAAAAATAACTTATTGTTTAAAAAAAATACTCTATGATCCTACCAATTAAGTATCTCATTAAAGTTATCAATCAGTGAAACTGGCTTATTTTAGTATCATCTCTTGTCTTCTATTAACTATTTAGCATTACTCTTACCAGCCAGGAAATACTGGTTATTATCTTGGCTATAAAGCAAAGAGCAAACTCATAAATCAGAGGTCTAGTTTAAAACCTTAGTTTAAACAAATGTTAACTGTTTAAATAAAAAACCCCAAATCTCTATTTTAAAAAAGAAGGAAATGTAGACACATTAATGAAGGTTTTGTCTGAAGAACTTGCATTCCCAAAAGCCAAGTATTTTACCCTGTACCCCAGCCCCTGCAACCCCCCGCTCATTCAAGGCATTTTAACGTTCTTACCTTATAGTCTACTTTGCCTTTACTTTTATCGTTGGATTCTCGTACAGCTTTCCTAGGCCATATACAACTAACAAAAGGGGAAATCAGCGGGTATATATATGGCTCCAGAAATTTTTTGTAGACCCAGGGCAAAACTGGAATGACAATGCAGGGAATGCACACCATTGTCCCAGGCTTGAGCTCTTGGACTGCCAATAAACGTGAAGAAAAAACAAATTAGATCAAATGACTGAAGGAATTCACCTAGATTAAGATATTTGAAATGACTTTCTACACTGAAGGAAAAACTTAAATCATACTACAAGTATTAGCTTAAATCAAGTCTATTAAATCAAAATGCTGCTATCTGCAAGGTAAAGGAATAATAAGTGGTCTACCGGAAAATAATAGTGAGGTGCCTGCCTCCAAACCTCTCCAATCACTGCTCCCCAATCATAAATATGATAACATGAAGGAATAGCACCAACATTTGCTGGGTGCTAGGCAGTCAAGCTCTTAACACATATCAACTCATTTAAAACACCCAGTGAGGTTGAGTACCCTGGCATTTCCATTTACAGATAAATAAAAGAGGGCACAAAAACATTAAGGAACTTGGTAATTTTCACATACTCCAGTTTAGTGTGACTTAACTTGCAAAGCCCAACCACCTTCAGGGACTGACAATATTCGTTACACAACTTACAATGCCAAGGGAAAATTTTGTTGAATGGAACTCAATGAGATACCACTTTGGAAGACCTCTAGGCTGCAAACTGGCTGGCCTCTCCCAGGCAACAACTCTCCCTTGATATATTTGCTTTTCCTTTTTTAATAGCAATTAAGGTATACTGAGTAATAAAAAATTTTAATTTAGTATTGTTATTTGTATAAGTAAATTGTCCATTTCCAAACATTAACACCTAAATTTCCTTGATGATTAGAAACTGTCTTCGAATTTCTCAAAATCAGCAATTTCTTGAAAAAGAACAAATATTATTTCCATAATATACTATCAAACCATGGACCTCTTAAATTGACAAGAATTTTTAATCCCTTAGCAGAGGCCTTAAAAACTCAGAAGCTTCAGAACAGTGCATAAGGCTAAAAATTAAGAA